TTGGGCTTTTGAGAGGTGATTGGGTTATTAGGATAAAGCCTTCATGTTTAGGATTAAAATCCTTTCAAAAGTGGCCCACAGTCAGCTCACACCTTACAGCATCCTCATCTAGGAAACAGGCCCTTGCCAAGCACCAAATGTGCTGGGCCTTGAGTTTGCACCTGCTGCCTTCCAGAACTGTGAGAAATACGTTTTGGTTGTTTATAAGTCACCCATCTATGGCATTTGGTTACAACAGCCCAAAAAGATTAAGGAAGAAAATCTAGCACAATGGTAGAAATATAAATGTTTTTCATCTATTGGATTAATGATCAGCTGATTGATTCTGAAACTGTAAATGGTTAATGATGTAGGGTCATGATCATCATTATGATCATTGTCATCATGACTGCTTTTATGGACAGTACCATGTACTAAATAAAAGGGTCCTTATAAAAATTCTGAGTAGGTATATATATATATATATATAAATTTATAAATGAGGCAACTCAAGCCATATTGAGGTTAAAGAAACTGATGAGGCTCAGGAGGTAGTAAGTATGAAGACAGTGTTTGAGTCTGAAAGTCTCAATGAGACCATAATGTTAAGAGAAGTAATTTAGACATACAAGCTTAAATATCACATGGTTCTTTTATATGAGACATTCAGAGTATAAACAGCAAAATGAAGATAGATCATAGGAAGCAGAGAGATAGATCTTTTTGCAAAATGGAAGGAAACCAGGGGATGGAGCAGGGAGGGGTGGAAAGACTGAAGACGTGTCATGCACATGTACCAACTCCCCATGGCGAATGTAATAATTATGTACTGCCAATATGCACAAATAACAATTTAATAAACGAAGTCTGACCTCAGAGTCCCTGCCTGCCACCATCTGAAGGTGGTGGCACTACATTGTGGAGTGGACATGATATTACACTTGAATCATTACTCCACCTAGGAGAAAAATCATTTTGCTTCAATTTCTCCAGCTACAGCACGGGAATGATAAGAGCTACTTTCCACAGGCCTCATGGGCTTGTTTCAAAGATAAACAGAGTTGCCTCAATTCAAAAGTTTAAGTTCCCTGGGGGAAAATATAAAAATTCAGAGCATAGCAATTTACACTAGCTGTGTGTGTTTGATGGAAGTATTTATTTGGTTTTTACTTCATCTAGAATTTCTCAGAAAATAGAAGACTAGAATAGAGCATTCCTAAGGAACAAAAGTTGCTGTAGAAATCATTTGATTAAAAGAAGATCGTGTAAAGACAATAACTTACATCCTAATAAACATAAAATTAGATTCTATCCTTTGTGGAAGTTTCTAAATTAATCCTATGAAGCGAACAAAGTCCTGCTAAAAAATCAACAAAATTACACAAGAATGATGAATCTAATTATTTATCAAAGTATAAGTTAACCCTTCCACCTAAAGTATTGAATTTTATAGATAAGCAGATAGTGAAAGTGTATTACCCCTAAAGCACCTATTTCAGAATTTCAAGGAGAGTTGATATTATTTAGTTATTTAATCAATAATATCATTCATCATCTGCTTTAAGTGAAAACATACAGGCACGGTCATCTCTTTTTTGTGCATTACTGAAAACTGAGTTCAGGGCTCATACATGCTACTCAGGTACACGAGCTGCTTGTCCTCCCCTTGCAGGCAGTTTTATAATTTTGAATAAGGGTCTCACACTCCAACCTAACCTACACAAGGAAGCGTATTAATAATTTAAAACCTTAACATGATTGAAAGAAACTATCTTTAAGAAACAGGAATATATTTTCTCAATAAAAAAGTAATATTTTTCTTGAATGAAGTACCTGGATCTTAATTGGGTGCAATATTTGACACATTCATATTAAAATCAGGAATAAAATAGGGAGCTGATTATGCTCCTATTTAATATTTTTTAGAAGACTGACTTAATGAAAAAGATTATAACAGATATGAGTTCTGGTAAGGAAAATAGAATTATAATTATTTAAAAATAACATCATAACTATAAAGTAACTGAAATATCAATTGGAAACTTATGGGAGTGAAATAAAAGTGGATGGACAGTAAACACATGTGAAACTTTTTTCACCAATGATGACCCGTCAATAAATGTACAATGTCAAAATAAAAATGTAATGTTTACCATTGAGATTAAAATGTATGATACAGAGGAATGACTTTGATGTACAAAGCATATGATCTGATAGCATTGAGGTAGTTTATTGTATGACATAAAAGATTTATATTTCAAACAAAATAATAGGCAATTAACAAAGGTTAAAATAGGTTGGCTTTCAGTTTAGAGTGACATGTTGGAGTGAGGGGGGATTATCCAGAGTGAGGAGCTTGAAAGGCAGGGAAGGTAAGGTCTACAATGTCTCTGGGAGACTCGGTTTTTTCTAGAAAGAACAATTAATCCAAAGTAATGCAAACTAGAATTACAGGGCTCAGGCACAGGAAAGCAGGGGTCTGAGGCAGGGGGATCCCTCCATTCTTATGGCTTTCAGTCAGTCAACAAAATACAAAGAAATGTCAAGGACTTCGAGGATGGGCAGAAGTAGGAGGAGAGGTTTGGGGCTGAGGAGGGAGGGGAACTTATAAAACAGCATCGAGAAATGTCTGGGAAGAAATGGAAAAGAGAAAACACAGGGATTGCAGAAGAGCACAGAGGACACGCTTGAAGGGAGCGAGCGTGAGGTCCAGCTGGATTGGAAGGCAGGTCGGTCCTCTTTCCAGAGCCACCTTTGGCCTAGAGGTGTCAGAGTGGAACACATGGAAAAGCAGTGTGTGGGAACCCGGGAGGAGTGTGAGGGGAGAGCAAGGCGCGTGAGCACTGTCCAGCAGGGATGCTAACAAGGGATCAGGAGTGCTGAGCCAGCTTAGAAAGGGACGGTAGGAGAGGCAAGGTGTGAGCATCACTGCGAGATTACAAGAGCTAAAGTGACTAATCTCAAGTGGGGAGACCATAAAGGATAGGCAACAAATCAGACCCTCAAAATGGGGATTACGAAGGCACAGGAAGCTGAGAGTGAAGGGTATGGGTGAGTTAAAGGGTACTTAGATCACCGGAAATGATGACAGGAATGATGCCAGACAGAAAGGACTGAGCGCTGGGAAAGTCTCCAGGGAATGAGGGGCGATCTGAGAGCTGTGACTGCTATGGGCAGACACAGTGGGAGAATAGATGAGGGTGTGAGATTCAAAGCTGGTGCTGTGGAGAAAAGGAAAGGGACCTGAGACTGGCACGGGGCTAAGGGACATGGGCTCCACCTTCACGACTAGGGAAATGAGTCATAGAACGAAGGGTTACTGCAGGAGGCCAGGTTTCAATTAGGAAAGATCAAGGGAATGTTCAGGGTGCTAGAAGCTTTGGGGGGGATTTCACTGCTGACTGGCCACAAGCTCCACATGGGTGGTAAAAGGGTTTCAGAGATAATGAGAGGTGGGAAGTGGGGAGAGCAAAGAGTAGAGATGTGGGGGATAGAGTCCAGGGAATGCAGGGTAACTCGGAAGACTGGAATTTTTATGGTAATAGAAATGCAAAGGGGAAAAAAAAAATGAGAATTCTGATCTTTCCAAAGCATGCAGTGGCAGAGGACAGTGCAGGGTCCTAGAAGGGAGATGGCATGTTGAGAGCAGCCTCAAATATAGGGCAATGGATACATAAAGGGATTTCTAACAAAAGATTTTAAAGAACATCTAACAACACTGGTAATTCGAGAAACACAAATTAAAACAACACTGAGATTTCATCTCACTCCAGAATAGAGGGCTTCCATCAAGAGATCAAGCAATAACAAATGCTACAGGGGCTGTGGGGAAAAGGGACTCTTCTCCACTGTGGTGGGAGTGTCGAGTGAGGCAATCACTGTGGAAATCAGTGTGGAGATTCCTCAAAAACTAAAACTAGAGGTCCCATTTGACCCAGTTGTACCCCAAACAGGTAAAAGGATCATTCCACAGTGAAACAGGTGTGCGCCATTTTTACAGCAGCACAATTTATAATAGCTAAATCTTGGAAACAGCCCATATGCCCATCAACAGATGAATGGATAAACCAGATGTGGTATTGATATACAATGGAGCACTGCTCGGCCATAAAGTAGGATAAGCTAGAGTTATTTTTTAGGAAAATTGAAGTATCTGAGCTACATAATGTTACATAAAATAAATGAGATACACAAGTTTAGATATCACATTGTTTCTCTCCTGTGACAAATCCAAATGATAAATAAATAACAAAATGGAGAACAGATACTGGGAAGTAGGAGAAGCGGAAGGAGACCAGGGCATGGGAAGGACAAAGGGAAGGAAGATGCATGGATTTTTAAAAAAAGATAATTGAAAGGAAAAATGGAAACACAGCTTTTGTAAATGGGGAGGGGAAACAAGATTAAAGAGGGGGAAGATTACAAAAAAGGATGAAATAACACATCATGTACAAATATAAATTCCCTATGATGAATGTGATCATTATGTATCACAAACATTGTATGCACTAATAAAAATAAATTTATGAAAGAGTACCAAACAACAAATATGCTCAGACAGACAAACTTAAAGGGCAGAATATAAAGCCAAACCTATGATAGATATGTTGTAAATCTGATTTGCATACACATATATAAAATTCATAGAAAGACCTAAACTATTACATTTTTATTAGATTGAATTTCAGGTATGACTTTTATTTTCTCTTAAGTTTTCCATAAATTTCAAACTCTTTATAGAAAGCAATTTTTGTTGATAATTAGAAAAGAAAACCCTGCATTGCCTCTGGTCCTGTTCTAAGACGCTATTATTCTACTTCTTGATGGAACAGTGGTATTAGCAGGTGTCGTACTTTATTATTATTTTTAAATGTGGGGCACAGTGAGGATCTCCCTCCCTTGGGTACTGTATTTCACCTCAAGGTGCACCCCTGAGGATGAGCTGGACTCCATACAAGGCCTGTGTTTGCATAAAGAGAAGTCAGCACAGGGACCTTTTCATGAACAACTCGGGCGCCTACCTGGCAAACGGATGTTTCAGGGTCACACAGGTTGCTGTGCCCATGACACTGACATGGGACACATGTGCCCAGGGTGAGTCTTGGGCTGTGGCCACCTGGCTCAGGGCGCAGTCGATAGAATCCTGGAGAGCACATCTGAAACAAAAGAAGCCACGTGGAATGGCCAAGTTAGAAATCTCGTGCAGCACTCAGTCCTCACCAGCTATGGAGACAGACCTCCTTCCCTCCGTGTGTGGTAGGGGCAACCTGCTGACAGACGCAAGTGTCAATTTTGCTACCTAGTACACGTTTCTGCGGATCCTCATCTTGGCTACAGATGCAGGCAGCATCCCTATGATCAAATTTTAGCCGAGGAAGGCTGTCATTTGCATCCACAACTCTTAGGCCGAAAACGCTTGGAAAAGTCTTTTTCTTTTTTAAACTTGAAAAAAGAAGTTTATTTTTAACTAACATTTTCATATGGACTGAAAAGACAGTCCCAATGTCCCTGGCAACCTAAAACTGACTCTTTTCTGTGCCTGATGGAGAACTAGCAAATATCTGATGAAATGTAGCAAAAAATTAAAGAAGTAAAAAAGTGCCATAGATGCATTATTTATATCAATATAATTTAAAGACTATAAAAAGAAGGCATTCAAAATAATGAAAGCCCTACCATCTTAGGACTATGAGGTCATCAATAAAATTTATCTTTCCTGATTTTTTAAAAAATTTTTTCTGTTTTGCCCAAAATTCTGAAAGCCGACAGAAAATTTTTGGTGCAGCTGACATATTGCAAAACCAAGACTTTACTCTTCCTTCAGGCCTATTATGGAAATGTATCGGGAAGTGCCTGGCTTCCCGGAATGCTCAGCTCTCCGGGGAACAGCGGGGTGGTCCCCCCTCAGCCTCTGGAATCCATCAGACACTGCTCCGTTTCTCACCAGGAGGGAGGAGTAGGTTCTTCAGAGCCCACTGAAAATTACCAAGGTGCTGCTTTCATAATTCCATCTATGACAGACATTTTCTCACTTACAAACTATGCTGCCACTGATGAAAGGAAAATGGTGGCTGAACAGACAGGCGAAGCAACATTGGACAAATTCTTCCTAAGCCCTCTATGGGCTTGTGGTTCTGGCTTAATAGGAGAGTAGAGAATACTTTCAAAAGAAACAGATCAATACTCAACACTCTCCCCTTGTTTATTTTGATTTGGAAAATGGGTGCCTCAAGTAAGCATTTAATTAAGAGTCTCTCTGGTCTTATCAGCCTATAAGAAATTCTAATGAGACTGGATAATGTCCCAGCTTTGAGCAAACTGATCAAAGAAAGCAGAGAAATATTCACATCTTGTGTTTCATTTGTCTTGTGGTGGACATATTCACATACTTGAATGAAGTTTACTCATAGTATTTAAAATCAAGCTTCAGGTTTACCACTTCATAAAATAAGGTCAAGAAATTACAGCTCAATTCATTTAAGCATCACTGAAAAACAACAATAACAACCCAAGTGTATACTTAAAAGTGGCTTGCAATGTGTGGTTCCAATTTGTATTAACTGACTACTGGATAAAACCAAATTATATTGACCAAGATTTTATCCCTGAATATCTTTCTAGATATTATTATTATATTGGTGCATTTTTTGAGGTCTGTGTGTACGTTTTTGTGTCATACACAAATGTGTCAAAATATACAATTTAAGAGGCGATTCACAGATCCACTTGACATCTGAAACAAAAATTTAATGAAACAAGCCTCTGAAGAATACAGTTTAGGAAATGATTCTCTCCCTAGAAGAGCGACATGAAATTGAGTGCTAAGTGCTGAGACATGCGGGTGAGCACTGTGGTCCGCTCCTGCAGTGTACAACCTCTGCTTCCTGGTGCATTGCTCCTTCCTGGACAGCTGCATGGGGCAGTAGCACAGTACTGGGATAGGAGTCTGTGGCCTGAGTTCCAGTAGAGCCCTGTGCAGAACCCCCTGGCCTTTCCTTGTGGTTCTTACAGTTACCTGGGGGCTTTTAAAGGTACTGATGCTTGGCTCTACCCCCAAGAAAGCCAACCTCACTGATAAAGAGTGGGGTCAGGATTTGTTTGAAGACTCCTGAGAGGACCCAAGGAGCAGTCGGGGGGTTGAGATTTGCTGGGTTCTCTGTCACTGCGGTGAATGTGTGTATGTTAGGGCAGGCAGACTCCTGGGGAACAGGGCAGGACGGAATAAGCAAAAAGCCAAGGGTTTTAAAAGTCAGCTTTGTTTGAAGGATAGGGCAAGTTATTGCCTTTGGGGTACAGTTTCCTCATCCCCCAAATGAGAAAGCATAGTAGCTCTGATGATTTCTGAAGTTTCTGACATTTGTCCTGCTATATTGCATTTCTCAAGGTTAGTAAAGAAAAAGAGACTTTCATAACAGGAGAATCAGATACTTGAAACACACTCACACACAACTATGAGCTACTTATTTCTTTTTAATGCCTTGCTTTTTTGGATCTTTTTGTAATTATTCTTTCCTTTTTAAGTTTTTGGCAAGTGTTTTTTTAATATCACAAATTCCCTCTTTTCAGTGAACTAGAGCAAAATCCCTAAGAACAGTTATGTTTGAGTTGGGCTTTAAAAAGCTACTTTAGAAATTCTCAACTAAAATTCTTTCTGGAACACAATGAAGGATGAAAGAAAAATAAAGAAGTCTTTTTCTGAGTTCATTTGATCCTTGTTTTCTCCATCGCAGACTTTTCCCAAGTTTCTTTCCATGCACCATGATGATGCATAGCTCAATGTCCTTCTGCTTTCTTTCAGACTTCAATTTACTTTCACCATACGATGTCTCTTCAAAAGATGAGGATGAATTTATACCAAAGTGTGGGAAGAAAGGGAGACTGGAAAGTGGCCAACCCAGGAGTAGAGTAGTGTGGCAGCCCCTCCTTTCCTCAGAATTCAACATAAGGACAGATTTTCCTGCTGCAACCAAGAAAAATGCTGGTTTGTATCTTCTTATGGCTTCTTGTACTCGGGCAAAGTGACTTTAGTTTTGGAAGTGGTGGAACAGTGCTTTTGTGCAGATTTTGAATATGGCAGCCTTACGGTCCTCACTTGGATCACAGGGATCCTAGGCTCATCTGTGTTTTGGAAACAGACTTGTCTGCACTCACATGGTACTTTGGCTGTGTCTGGCTGTATGGTCACAAGCAACTTCTTAGGTCTCAATTTTCTATTCTATAAAATGGAGATCATAGATCATACTTGGTGGTCATGTGAATACATTAGGAAATATGCTCGAGATGGTTTTGGATACAGCAAACACTCAGTAAAGAAGTTATTTTTGTATCCATTTCTCATAAGGATTGAGTGATGCACTTCATTTCAACATATTAAAAAAAACATAGATTTCTCTATCCCAGGCAAATTTTTAGATATAGTTGGCGAGGATAAACTAAAATAAAAGCAACTGTAATTGTTCCAAATTGTACTGAGAAGGAAAATTGTAATGCATGCCTCTTACCCACACCCTGGTCCTAAATATTTGCATGTGTAGTCAATGTGTTGCATACCAACATGTCAGTGACTCACACACTGTATATGTGAGAGAGACTCCATAAGGCTATGTTGCTTCATGATGTTGTAACAGGATTCGTTTGTACAAATACAAGGTATGATGTCTGCATGATGACGTAGCTGCCTAATGACACAGTTAAACAGCACACAGACAGTTTTCCAGCCTGCTAGGTGCAGCCAAATGAGAAAGGAAGCCTGAGAGATGGTTTGTGTAAGAGAAGAAATCTATTTCCACATTTTTCCTTTTGGATTTTATGACTTCATAACAGGTATAAATTCAGAACTTAAAAAAGTAGTTTTTTGATTTTTTTAGAAATTGGAATATGTTAGGTCTTGAGAGGTGACTGAAGAGATACTAGCCATTCAGCTGTGAGCATACAGTCCTAGTAAAATTAGGAGGGGGGCTAAAACTATGTGAACGTGGCATGGTGAATTTCTGATACCCACAGTATTTTTGCAGAGAACCACAAGTCTGTATTTTCCATTTTTAAGGATGAAAGTCATACATACGAATGGGGTCTCTGTGTAATCCCAAACAGAATTTAAACCTCAAAAGAACCCAATCAGAAGGGCAAGTTAACTGAGTCAATGCCATAGCTCCAACAACAACAAATCTAGTGAGGAAATAGTGTCCTTTGACTTCCAAAGTCATTTTGACTCTACTTCGAATCATAAATTGCAGTAATTAGGCATTTCTAGAACCAACATTTTTAAGGAATGAAACTAAAGTGTCACAACACTGTAGGTAACGGGCAAAGGCTAAGTGTCTTTATAACAGGCCACATTTTTAGTGGTAACTGATACTTAATCTTTATACCTGCAACTACATTTTAGGTAAAAATATGAAGAGTCGGTAAAACAAATGCCTTGCTAATATCATATATTTGGTGAGAAGATCGTAAAGGCATTTCTTTGCATTTTTATAACCCAAAGCATATGTTACTGGAATGGGATATATTATTTCAAAATTGTCCTTAGCTTTTGGTTTGATGATTACATTTTATGCATGGGTAATTGTACTTTAGAATCAAGATGAATTACAAATAAGATGTATGATGGATTAGAGGCACTGGCTTGTGGAGAACACCTCAGGTACCTTATTATGAGAGATAAACCCTTGTCTTCATAATTACTTCACTAATACTTTATTGTAATTATCTGTAAATAGGAGCTTAAGTGAAATTCTTGGGATGCAGCCAAAGTCACCAATGCAGGTGATTGTACACATTTCTAGTTTTTCTTGATTTCCTTCATTTATCATTGCTTCCTTTGCATTAATTTGTATTTTCATTTGATAGAAAATTACTAAAATTAATGGTAAAGCATGCTTTAGAATACACTATTTGCAAAGCCTATTGATTACAATAAGCAGAGATTTTAACATTTGGAATTTGCAAGGGAGAATAGATTGCATTAAAATAATTTCATGCCTTTCCAACAGTGTATTGCTAAGTGGGCAGTATTATTTTAAGTATATATAAGAATAGCAGAGCTGTAATAACTTACTCTTTGACATATCTCAAGGTCAACCTTGACTACTTGCTGAAAATCTTCCCTAGCAAAACAATATTGTAGAGTCAGAGAATTTCAGAACTTCATTTTAAGGTTTGGACAACTATTTAGTAATGAAGGCCAATAGCAATTAAGGGAATCGATCAAGGTTACGGGTTAGTCTGCCGCACAGCCAAACAATCCTTGCAATAAAAGTTGGTCTCTTGTTTAGAAAAATCTCAAGCTTTTTCTGCCCTCTATCTTTTGATCTCTCATGCTCAGGGAAAGTAAGCATGTTATATACCTGAACGTTACCTTATTTTTTACCTCTATGCTGGGCGTGTGTGTATGTATTTGGATGGGTTGTATATACAAATACTATACATGTGTGTATACATATATTCACACACTGTATAGCTAAGAGCTCAGTGTATAAGCAGATGTGACAGTTATTAAATTATGAGTTGGATTACTTGGTATTTGTTAGATCAAAGTGGAGACATCCAAAGGAATATTGTGCTCAGAACAGTGATAAGAGGGTATAAAGTGATTTCAGGGATGCTTCAAAAGATCTGAGTTAGTCTATGAAACTATTCTCTGAACAATGTGGAATCCTTATGATGGAACCCTCAATTTGCAATGGGCTCCCCCACATACATTTTTACCTTATTAGGACAATTCTGTAGGTAAACAGATGAAGTTCAGCAGAAAGCATAAAGGACTCCGCCCAGGCCACAGATCTGGGCAGAATCCAAATCCCTTTTTCTTCTCATTATCCTTCTCACTAAGGTGCCTCTCAGGAAACTTACAGTCAACATTTTCAAATTTTGTATCATGTTTTGACCTGGTGGTGGTGTCTGTCTCGTGTGCCATGCTTAACAAAGCTTGATGACTTTCTTAATAAAAGTTATTTCTAAATAAATCCTCATGGAGCTATATAATGAGTTATTATTATAATGATATCTCAGTAGTATTAACTCAACAGTATTAACACTGATGACATGATAGGGTCCCCGGTAAGTGCTTAATGCTCATAGCTTGGTCTTCACAAGATACTTGGCTTGTAAAGGTGTGGGGTGGATGTTAGTAATATCTGCCTGCTATGCTGTGGGCACTGACCAGTGTGACTAAAGGCAAAGAGCCCGAGTTTAGACCTAAAGTGGATCCTAGAGGCCCCTTCCCTGCCAGGTGTCACCAAGGGGTTGATAGCAAAGGGATGAATGTGGTGACAGTTAAGGACTTAGTATTTATCATCTCTGTCTCAATGAGGTTCCGTGACTTGTGCAAGGTCTCAGTCCTAGTAGAGGCAATTACCCCGTTTCTCTTTCCCTGTGTTCAGTGCCCTAGGAATAGCTGCTGTTAGTAGAAAACTGACTCCTTGAAAACAAAGATCTAGAAAATCTGCTAATTCTTAAGGGTGTCAGAGGAATAAGCTAGCAGGAAAACACACACAACACGCAAATCAGTTTTGAAACTGTAATGACTGAATGACAGTAACACTGTGGGAACAAATTTCTGCTTCTCTGAGGAGCCTCGGTGGAGGGAAACAGCCTGCTATTTAGTAAATAAGTTTTGTCACGTTCTGTATAAAAACACTTTCAAAATCCAGCATAAACATATCGCATAATCACTGCAGTTTAAATGCCTCTAACCGTTCACAAATAGTGACAAGAAAATAGATCAGGTACGACAGACAGGCCTTTTGAAAGCCTGGTTGTGTCCTGACTGCTCTATATTTTCATAGATCTTCTAATTTTTATCAGGTATTTCTTTGCAGCTGTGATTTGTACTCCCAAGCAGCCGTCCCATCATCTTCTCTTTACTGAGCTTCACAGTGTGAGTGCACGATCAGATAAAATAGGTTAAGAGTTCATATAAAGGAAGAACTGACAGCAGCCTTTCCATTTGGCTCCCGACATGCGGAGGCTAAGCAGATGAGCAGCGGCTCACATACCTCACAGGACAAGCCGGAGTAGCCGGGGGGACAGTCACACTTTTCTATCAGCAGAGCAGGAGGAGTTGCTGCTGTTGCGGGTCCTGGCTCAGCCACCTCCATTGAGATTTCAGAAATCCTGCAAACAGCAAGCACGATCTTAGCCGATCACTGAGCATACGGACAGCGCCATGAGAAGCATCTTCTCAGATTTTGGTCAGCTTCAAGCAGGTTCCACTATTTTGTTTTTAACTGACACAAGATAAGTGTATATATTTAGGAAGATAACAATGTAATGCCTTGGTTCACATACTCACTATGGGAAGTGTAGATCAGTGAGTGTATATGTTGTTTGAACCTGGCTAACTTCCAAGGGTTTTTATGCTTCATCTTATTACTGCATCTTTTGCTTCTTTAAAGATTGAGCTTACACATTAGTAAAAACAGCTGCACGAATCATGAGGAGTTTGGTAAACTGGATGTCTGCCATCCTGGTGAGACGTTATTATAAAGATTTTTTTCTCACTTGTAAAAATACGAGTAGCTTCAGATAGACATGGACAATTAAATAGGCATTTGTATTCTTTCAAACAGACAACCCAAGGTCATTCTCCATTAGACTAGCCCCTGTAGACACTAGTGAAATTGTTTTTAATTTACTACTGTGCTCAATTTTTCCCTTGCAAGTCTTTGAATGTCCTTTAAAGAACTTTAGAAAACCACCTAGAAAACAAAGAGTGTAAGTGATCTAATAATATCAATCTCTTTCTGATGATAAAGAACCATTCAAATTAATATTTTATTAATCTTATTAAGTAAATCCTTCAAGTGACTGAATTCACCCTTGCTATTGGTAGAAAAGTCCTTATAACTGAAAAACTATTCACAATGGAATTACTGATATCTTTTTTATTAATTTGAAGTTACACACTAAAAAATATGCAGTCCATAAACTCAGACTATTTCATGATTGAGTAACTGGTAACATGAAAATGTTCTGCAAATAAACTTTTAAGCGAGACAATGAATAGTTTTGCTTCAATAAAAGACACCTCTAATAGCTAAGGGCTTTGAATCATAGCAAGCGTAGGTGAGTTTTGTTGAATTAGGAATGCACACTCATACTGTAATTTGCATCTGAGGATCAGCCAGCCTTTATGAGGTACACACGCAGCTTCAGTCCTGCCTCCCTGCCCATCACTGCTCCTTAGGGTACACATCTAGAGCGTGAGTGACCCATGGACCACCCCCTCTGGTAAGGAAGACTTCATCTTTCTGTTTCCCCAAGTCTGGGGTACAAGAAGTTCGCCTGGTGTTTGTTGACAAGACCTTTTCCTCCTGCCACCTGCATGACATGTGACAGCTGCATAAGGGGGGAAGCATCATCTTTCTCTTGTACAACGCTCACACACAGCAGACCAGCAAGTGTGTAAAATCAGAGGAAGCTGGATCGTGGGGACAGCGTGCTTCTCTGCATTCATGGCTTTCCTCAGCAGATTCGAGGGTGTTTCGGGGGGCAGGAAGGGGGAAGTTGGCACAGTCGGAAAGCAGTGGTTTGATTGCCTCTGCGGTGTGACTTCTATTTAAATTTTTACTGAATCACAAAAGGAACTGATAAAGAACTAAAGAGAGAAGGAAAAAGCTGCAATTGATTAAAAAAAATGGGAACCATTTTGGACTGTGTGTATAACTCAACTCTTTGACTTAGTTTAAAGTTATACAATAAAAGAAATGAGAGTTTATGTTTAAATTATTTCAGAGGGAATATTTAAATTTCTTTAGAATCTGTCATGAATCCACTGTCATGCGATACCAACTGTTTATCAGTTCTTATTTCGGCTAGCGTATAACTCAAGTTTTTATGGAACTTTTAATAGAAATATTTATTTTCCTCTGACATTTCAAAATACCAGCACTTAAGTGGAAGGATTTCATTAGGTAAGATATCTGAAAGAATGTGGTAAGAGAAAGAGGTTTGGGAAACCGAATGTCACAGCGTAGGAAGGTGAAACTGAGAGGGCCAAAGAAAATATGATGAAAAATGAACAAAACATTGTTTGTATCAGTTCTACGAACAAAATATTCATTCTGTTAGCTACTAAGTTTATTGAAGATTGAAACAATCTGCAGAAACAAAAATTTTTTTTAACCAGCTTGTACCAGGCAGGTCCCTGTGGTAGTTGGTGGGCACCCGGAGGAAGCTGGAGCCCACTCATCTTTCCTCTCCCTGCACTGCTGGTAGGGACTCAGTTCTGCGAGTTTGTTCCCTCACCTTGGGGACAAGTAGGGTGAAAGATAAAGAGACACAGAGTTAGTTCAGCATGCGGGCAGCCAGTGGCTCTTGCCTCTAGTGGGCAGAGTGCCTGGAGCCTGTGGCTTGCCCCTCTTTGATTCACGTAGACACGGGTGCAAGCAATTGCAGTAGAACAAGATGCATGTGCATCCTACTGTCTTACTGGTGTATGTCCAGATACACAGCTGGATCTCAGCTGTGTGGACCCTTCCCCAGCACCTGGAAGGATTGTCATCCCTGCATGCTGCTACAAGAGCACAGCTTCCTGCCTTTCTCCTTTATGCTCACAGAGGAGGTCACCTGGACCCCAGTTCTCCTTTGCTGGTCTCTCATAATCTATGACACAGAAATCTGTTTTGGCTTTTTCCATAGAATGTATATTTGATGTTCTACAATAATTAACATTATAGCAGAAAGCATGTTTTCAGTACGTGTTTTTATTTCATGTGAAAATTAACTGTTACAGAAAAGAACATGAAAAGGAATATAGATTAGAAAGTGAAGTTTGGTCTTTGATTTGATTCTCTTTCTCCAAAACTCTACTTCAGTAAAAAAAATCAATATGGATATTCCCCATGAAATAAAGTTCTTGGCTATACTATGTGCTTAGTACAGTATAAATATTTGAAATACAGAATTTTTAGATTTATTAATTCCACCATAAAAGCTTCCATAAATGCTTTGTTTAATTTTCCTGTCCAAGTCTACTAATATATCATATAATACTCTTTCACCAACATATATTGATTGCATATTCTTTAGAACATAACAGAAAAACACATGAAAGAGAAATAGATACTGCTGTGTGAAGTCAACTCAAATTTCTACCATGGTTATATGAGACTTAGCTATGTCTGTGTGGTTTCATTTCGTCTCACTGGGTATGTTTTCTTTCTACAAAAGAAACAGACCATGCGTACCATTTGTTGAGTCTTCTGGCTACCCTGTGAATTATTCTCTGTATTCTGTAATTTTAACAGTTTCTTTATTACTAATCACTTTCCCATAATTTACAAGTATAATTACTTCTCTCTCAAACAATCAGTCTTTAAAGTTTGACACTACAACATTCCTTCTGTAAGTTACTTCATGGAAAACAAGTATGTACTCAACAATACTAAGCTTACCATGTCCCAATCTCTCTGCCTCAGGACTTCCCTGAAACTGGTGTTACTAATGTCACTAGGGCGGTTTCAAGTGTCAGTCTCAATATACCTCATTTTAATGGGTGTCTTTTAAGTCACATGAAAATGCTATTTCTATGATTCAGCTTCCAAAACATGTTATTCCTGAGGTTCTCCTGTGCTTTTTTCTCCCTATGTGATTCTCAGTCATTTCATGTCATAGTTTCTTGTGTGAAAGGCCATATTATTTAGCATACAGGAGTGAACAGATGAGAACACTCATGGTTGGAAGACTGGGCCACCTTTCCCCTGCTGGGTCCCCTTGAACACTAAAGGAGGCCACTTCCTCACTCATCTTATAGCTTGTTTATAGCAGCTATAAGATGTGGTACATCAAACCCACAGCACACATTTCCCTGAGTTTTTAACTGACACCTTAAACTCACCATGCCTAAAGTGACTTCAGCCTTTTCCATCTTTAGCTGTATTGTTTTCCCTTCTTGGAAAGAAAGATAGAAACGATAGCTTCTATGCAGTGACGTGGAAGCCACCATGGGCTCATCTGTGTCATCTGACTCTGAAACCAACTCCTCCCAAATCATTTTTATCTAACGCCTTACTAACCTTGCCTGCAGAGCACAGTCTAACACTCAACCCGGATATTTTCTCTCATGGCTTACCTGCTTTGTCGCATGATATTTCCATAGGTGGCCTTGATGAGAATGTAGTGGATATCGTACAGTACGTCCATGAAGTCTTCGCGGCTCACAGTTCTGCTGATTCGAGGATCGTCGCCATAATATTTCCATTCTTTCTGTTAACAAGAAAACAAGCCACTTGGACGAAACTGAACACAATCCGTTGGCATCTTTGCACCAAGACACTGAAAGCTTTACCTCGGTCATTTCAATTTCATGTCTCGTCAGCTGGCCAATGAGAGGCGCAGCCACATGCCTGACGATCAGCCTAGCGTGAGAAGGAGTCCCACCTCGAATGATAACTTGGGGTTTATACGTGGACAAGCCCGTCTCTTCCCGTGCTTCAAAATAGATCGTATACTTGAGTTTGCCACCATAGGCCATCAGCTGACAAACAAAAAGGAAAGGCATTGATGTAGGCAAATCTCTAAACATTGTGACTCCGAAAGTCACATTTCCCTTCATTCCCAAGTGACTTCAGACTTCTTACCTTCTTTCCTTCAAATTGTTCTGGAAGTTTCCAATAAAAAGGCTCCAAGCGGAGATCCTGTCTCACCAGGTGCATGTCTGCAACAATCTCTGGGGGCTGAGAAGCAATGCCTTTGGTCGTTGTGTGCTGCAGTGCCTCATCCACCAGGGGCAGGATGATCTGCTCTGCCTCCAGAGTCACCTGCACGGAATTTGAGTACAGCAGAGAGTGAGCTTCAGTTCATGGGCATCTTCTTAAGGTGAGGTTATGGACCATGTATCTCTCTGGAGGGTGCCCACCCATCCTGGTGAGGTGAGTTCACAGGAAAGGGGACTGACATTTGGGGTACATTCTTTCAATGAATACCACAATATCAGGAACCTTTTCCACTAATACAGATCAAATTTAAAACGAAGAGCTTAAAGGACAGTTAAAGTAAAATGGAGACTGTATTCGCCTAAAATTGGATAAACTCCCAGGGCCATGGGAGTAAGTGCAACACGTTTTAGTCGTCCTTGCTGGATTAGGACATGTTAACACTCATGCTCAGGGGCCCCCATTCCGCAGGACACAGCTTCTTCCTGAATCAGAGCATAATGTCACCTTGACAATGCTTCCTCGTTTCCCTCAGCATCTCTTCCCTTACCAACAACAACAACAACAATTTAAGGAAAAATGAAAAAAGTCATTTACTCCAACTGCCCAATGGCACACAGCCTCTTTACCATTTATGAGTATGCACAGGGGGAAAGGTTTCTGAGATATGTTGTCACTTCCTATTGGAGACCACTACGAAGCGGCTTTGAGCAGGATTTAAATTTTACTGATTGTCTATGTTTATCTGTGAGTCTGTCCTAGGTCTCAGCCCCTTGCCTGGCGATGGGAGCTGATTCATAGTAAGTGAACCTCTATGAATCACTGTTCCTGGCTGAGGCCTGTAGTGGCCTGTGAGGCCAGAGATACCTCAAAGGGCAAGATAAGGTCACAGACCTTATCTTGGTTCCAACCCGCAGACACTTGGTTCCAACCCCAATTAACAAGATAGAGACCGCAGCTACAAAAACTCCTCCTACAGTCTGTTTCTACCATGTCTTCAGGATAAGACAGTGCTAGGGAATTGACTTGGTTCATTACTTGTAGACATACTTGAAGTGATTCCCAAGGTCCTGCTCTTTGCCTGTACTTTCTTCAGTTTTCCCGCCCCTTGTTGGACCTCATAAATAAAGTGGGTGGTCCAGGGAAGCTTTGTCTTAACCTACAGAGTTGCAAGCTTAATTAAAGGGTTTTGACTCTCCTGGAGCCCTAAAAAAAATCATACAACTTGTCTCTTTTTATTTAACCTCCATCGTTCACTCATTTGGGAGATCAGGGATCTAAGTCAGGACCCGATAACTTCCTCATACCCCTTTGGGGTCCATCTAAAATATGCCAGCATGGAATAACATTCCATCATGTGGCAGCTCCCCACTCACCTGTTTATGGATGAGTCCTTCAGCTGCAGAGCACTGGCTGGTGACACTGAAGCAGTAGCAGCTGCTGCAGCCATGTGGGTTCTTGGCCTCAAGTCCGAATTTGCCCGATTGGCACCTGTCACAGTGGATGCCTTCCACATTCGCCTGACGAGAGGAGAGAGCGCCAGAGAGATCTCAGAGTTCTCACAAAAGTTATGGGGGAACTCAACTTATGATTGGATAAGCAGAACACATTTCTGTGTTAGTTAAAGTAAAACAAAAGACCACCAAATTTTGGGCTCTTGTCGCAAAAACATTCACAGCTAACCTTGCTGTTAGGACTTCATGGGTTATCTCATCTTATTAAAAAGTTTTTGCATGTCAAAGGAAATCTCCAACAGAGTGAAAAGAAAACCCACAAATTGGGAAAATGTCTTAGCCAACTGTCCCTCAGACAAAGGACTTCTATCCAGAACTTATGAAGAATTAAATCAAATCAGGCCCCCAACATTCAAAGACCCAGTCCAAAAATGGATATTTGAGATTAACATACACTTCTCAGATGAAGAAATACAAATGGCAAATAAATCTATGAAACAATGTTCAGTGATCATTCAGGAAATGCAAATTAAAACAACACTGAGCTTCCATCTCACCCCAGAAAGAATGGCCAAGATCAAGAAATCAACGAACAACAAATGCTGGAGGGAATGTGGGGATAAAGGAAACCTTCACCACTGTTGATGGGAATGTAGACTGGTGCAACCACTGTGGAAATTAGTGTGGCATATCCTCAAAAAGCTAGGATTAGAGATTCCATTTGATCCAGCTATCCCGCTTCTGGACACTTTCCCAGAAAAACTGAAAACATCATACCACCGTTATATATGTGCGCACATATTATAGCAGCACAGTTTGTGATAGCCAAATCTTGGAAACAGCCCAAGTGCTCCTCAACAATCAAGGGATGGATAAAAATACATGTTATTTTTATACAATGGAGTACTACTCAACTATAAAGAAAGTTTGCATTGAGACTTTTATAAGTAAATGGACACAATTTGAGACCATACTCATAAACAAAATAAATCAAACTCACACATGTAAATAACATAATGTCTCCCTTGTGTAAGAAAATGAAAAATTATATATGTTCCAAAGTACTGTGTAAGGGCAAGAAATTATTCAAAGGGGAAAAGTAATTGGAATAAGGGGGAGGAGGAAAGAAGGAAAAGAAAAGAAAAAAGACATAAATATATATATATATACAGATATATATATACTCATAGCTCAACTGACTATACTACTAATTGTATTAGTTATTGGAAAAGAACAGTTAATACTTATATGTTTAGATCCATTTTGCATGTCTGTATCTGTTAATCTAAGCAACCCTCTTGAAGGCAACAATATATAACATTACAACCATTGTCAAGTTCCTATCATCTTGTTTTGTAAACTTATACGGTTACTGTATTTGGTTTTTTGTTGTTTGTTTGTCTATATTGCTTTTTTGTTTTTCTTTTCTGTGTCATTTTTATCTTTAATAAAAAAAGATTTCATGGGTTTACAAGTAAATGTTTTTGTTCATAAAATATCCTTTTACTAAGGATATTTTATATTGTTTTTAAACTTAAATGGCACATTTCCTATGATTTTGCTCTAAGCAATATGAAGACCTCATGAGGATTTAAAAAGCCAAATTAATAATATTGCTAGATAATGGTACCATGCCAGGTTGTAAAAAACGGGCAGGAGCTTAATAACATGTATTTATGTGATTATTACAGTGATATACGCATGCATATATGGAACAAGTATGAAACAGAAACCCCTAATTATCATGTGCAATAATGTGGCATTGTCCTCTGTTTTGACTGGGGGGTCTTCATGCCGCAAGTCATGATTTTCCTAAATCTCAAATACTACATTAACAACCACTGGTCTAGATCTTGGTTTTCTTTTCTCTCTGATCCTCTCTGCATAGATTTTGTCTTAAAAACATATCTGTAACACAGTTTCATCTGCATTTGTTCTGGCACTGCTGGTTCAGAAATATATAAGGGGGAGAATCTCTCTCATCCTTTTTAATTGGCTGTTTTTCACATCATTTAGCAATATTAATGAGGGCTAAAATGTGCAGACAGTCACTGTTTATAATGCCAGTATTTATATGTGATGAAGTTTTAGTGACCTTCCACGGCAGTAAATATATTTTTCAGTGTATAGTGATTGCAAGTTAATTTTAGAAGAAATGGTTTCTTAGGAGCCTTATTGTATAGCTGTGATTTTCGCAGAGAGCATTTAAAACAATAGTTTTCCCTGCTCCAGTCCTCAGATTTTTCTTATTTGACAAAGGAAACATACAAAGAAAAACAATTTGACGGCACTATTGAAAATATATCTCCTGCTATGTACTAGAGAAACAGGCTTGGGTTGAAAATAAATTCTTAACAAGCAGAGCTGATTCTATTTGCATGCCTGTGAACATATATCAGTGAAAACTGTGTCGGGCAATGAGCTTTTGTTTGTGCAGCCTAATGAAGCAGGAATAATGAACCCTGAACAAAGCTAAAACTGAGAAACAGAATCAGAGTTGAGCAAGGCTTTGCCTTGTAGCATTGGGGCAGTATCTACCTTGCAAGTGCACTGTCCGGTTTGATCACTACATGAGCATATTTGAGTCTCGGAGTCACAGGTCGCAGCCTCTGTACCCGGCAAGAAGCAGTCACAGAGAAGGCAGTGAGGAAAGTTCCAGTGACCTTGCTTGCACGTTGTACATTTTGCACCGGAGAATTTCGGATGGCAGTCACACTGGCCCGTGTTTATGTTGCACTGGAAGTTCAAGGATCCCACTATGCTGCAGTTACAAGGCTATGGAGCAAAGAAAAACAACCACCATTACCACGGCTTCATGGATGAGATCTTAAAATTTTAATCCTAATGATTCTGGCTTATATTAACCCATATTAATCACGTGGCTATTATATGCTTTGTACTATTTTAGTTTAGCCTCTTGGGGAATATCAGGGAACGTAAACATTAAAATTATTTCCTGCATTTAAGAAAATAGATGATTATCCAGAACATAATGCTATGTGAAGGAGAAAGGAAAGACTGTAAGTTTTTTGTCTTGTCATGAAAGGGAGGCTTTCCTTCAAGTACTTTTTATTTCGAAGACTAACTTGTTGACAAGCTCATTTGACTTCCTTACTTAATGTAATATTTAAAACTCGATGGAGATATAACCTATGTCTGGTGGACAGAGACCAGTAAATACATAAATAGCATGCTGAAACCTAAGCATTACATAAGGGGAGACATGTAGAACACTGAGAGGACACACAGAAGAAGAAACCACACAGAGCAGACTCCAGGGACAGTGCAGAGAACTGACACCCAGCACACTGGCCCTAGGAGTGCAGTTGAGTAGAGAATCTTGATTTACAAAGCTTTATTGGTGGCCTTCCCTTTGACCTTTATCTTACACTGACAAACAATTTTCTCTTTATGCAATACAAATTTTTGCTAAAATTTATAAAAATTGGAATCTTTTTTTACTCATGAAATAACTGGAATAGAGTGTGTTCTTTCAGTTAGAAAACATAATTATTTTTTGATTCATATCTAAAACTGTTCAGATCTGTTGCTGGTTTTATGTCTTTTCTACTTTTATCAAGTTTATTCTTTAGCATCCATTATAATTCTTTTTTGCCTTTATTCTTGAAGTAGGTATTTTTCATGTTCACTTGCCAATTATATAAAATCCTGAAGTCTTCTTTAATCCTCTTCTTTGCGTTAGCTGTCTTGTGATGGTTGTGTCTCAATTTGTTTCTCTATTTTATATCTCCTGCTTTACACAGTGAAAAATTGATGGTGTATCTCTGTCTCTGTGCCACCAATGCGTATTTTAATCATACTGCTGCATTTAGCTGCTTTTGAATTATTTCTTAATTTCATGTCATTTTCAATTCTGTTCACCTAGTTGGGTTTTGTGTGTTTTATATTCTCTTGATTTCCGGAGTTCAGGTCATCCTGAAATGTACAGCATCCCGAAATGCCAAGTGGATTTCAAAAACGTCCGCCGGGACCTTGGAATCTATCACTGTCACAGCGAAGCTGTGCCGTTACTAATGGACAGACTCCGTGGTGGACCACTGGTTTGGGGTAAAACCACCCTGCTTTGTGACACTGCAGGGAGACCCACCGACAGCTCTCTGTGGCCAGGGAGCATGGTACTGTGCTTAGTCAATAGGGGACCTCAGAGGGATTAAAAAGGCTGCCGTGGAGAACCCCAAACTTCTTCATTCTGGGTGGCAGAACTAGTATCAGTAGTATCATTTTCATTATTATCTTTGATTTTAGCACAGATGTCCAGAGGCCCAGAAGGAACCCCACTGGTGCCTGTGGACCCCTCACTCCCTAGAGTCCCCTTTTTCCATAGCTGTGAGCTGCCCTGTGCAGCTCTGAACATGATGCTGCTTCTAAGGACTGCTGCTCTGGGGTAGCCTCCAAAGTGGAGGACCGCCTCTGTGCACAGCCCTCACCCACAGACTCTGGCATGACTGTGCTTGCTTTGTAACCAGCAGGTTGTGTGTTCCGGTGTTGACTACATCCTCCTCTGAGACACGCTAATGCTATCCTTAGGTGGTGGGAAGTGGATCTTGCCCTCTCCTAGCTCTGGGCTTCTTCAGGGCCAACCTCTCTCAGTCTGCAGGTGGTAGCTGCTCTTTTGCACTGCTATATAAAGGCCCTGTAGCTCTTTAATCCTTGTTTAGGAACTCATAGATAACTTGAGGCCATTCACAATTCTTTACATCCTACTTTCCCAGCTTAAATAAACTGCATGGCTCTTGTCTCCTGAGCGGAACCTGACTTGGTACCCATGTCATCTCTCTCAAAGAGGGATCATGTCACCAGTACACAGCCTTTACGCTTTCTCTGCAGCCTCAATCTTTTGGGGACTGTCCTGCTGCTCTCCTTGGGGATACAGCTCTGGGGCAGATATGTACGCAGAGCTGAGTCTGGTTTTCACTTCTTCCATCACATTTTCTTAAGTTCACTGGTTGTAGAGGTATCCTCGCCCCTGCCCCTACTACCAGTAGCTTACTTATCAGACCAGTCTTCCTAGACATGATGATAAACCCCCACTTCCATTGTTCTTATTGTCCAAATGTTGGTGGAAAACCTTCCTAGACTGAATCAAATATCCAGGCTTTATTTTTTACTGTCTTGATAATGAAACACTTTTTTCTCTCTGTTCCCTGATACATAGTAAAAGGGATGCTGCTATTGACTTCCACTAAAAGCTATTTTAAATCCAAAGACCCAAAATCTGGATGCACTGTGAACTTATCCAAAGCCTCCAGGTATGGAATAACCCATCCTTATAAAACATCACCTATAAAATGAAATTTCCAAATTAAGACCATTTGCTTATTGACTCAAGTAAGTTTTCTTTGCCAGTTACATTAAGTATGTATTGACTCAAAAAAGACAGCTCATAGTCCGAAAAAATTGTGATAGGGTATAGAAAAATTTAATCCTATAATAAATTTTAAAATTTCCAGTGAGAAATCCTTAATGTTTAAGTAGCAAAACTATGAAAATGTCTGCTACATTTCAACTTACATTACAATTGATCACTCAAATACATTACAATTGATCAGACAAAACCGAAGCCCTCACTCTTGAGGAATCATTGATGGTACAGATACACTTTGGCACCTGTTCAAATCAGAATTATTCAGGAACTTACAATGGAGAATAAATGAGATGATTAGCCATATGTTTAGACAGCAGTGTGGGCAACATCACACTTAAATCATAATTAGATGTAATGTTTGTTTAGCAATAGAGGATTTATTCACTACTCCCTTGCTAGTGAAAAGTGGCAGCAGGCTTTGTATTCCACTTCAGTAACAGCCCCAATGATGTGTGTGCTTGTACTCTTGTACAGAGAAATTATTCATGACACGAATAGAGGGAAGCTATAAATCTTAAAATCACTGTTTTAAATGATATTCACCCAAGTTTTTTAAAAAAAACTTTAGAATGTATGATTTCAAATAAGTTATTAAAGTCACATAAATTTAAGGAATTATACATGATAGTGAAATGTGTGGCTATTCAGAAATTTAGATTTTAATAATGTTCAAAGTAATCAAACATTTTTAATCAACTTCAACAAGCATGAAATAACTACATTTTGTAGAGACTTAACCTGCATGCTGTACCTTGGATTTCCTGAACATTAGGTACCAGCTTTAAATTTCAAGAGTTTTGTTAGAGTTTGGCTATATCATAGTATTTATGGATAGAATAAGACTCTTGGTTTCCTTATGTCTTATTCTGTGAGTCCACATGATAATGTAGATACTTGAATCTGAAGCTGAAATGCAAAAGGTCAGTCATGGACAGTTATGTTATTGCTTATATTATTTATTTTTATTAAAGGCATTTGAAATTCTTAATAAACTTTTTTTGTTTCCCAAAATGTATCTCTATCTAACTTCAAACAATGCTTTGGGAAAACCAAAATGAGTGTCCTGTCAGGTTTCTGTTTAATTATTATATCTAATTAGATTTTTTCACTCTCTTAAGCAAATCACGGATACTCTTATTCTCTTTCAAGTCAGCATATCCTAACCAAGGGTTCAGCTGCATGGGTAAAGGTGCCTGGAGTCTACAGCAGCACCTGTGTTAGGTAGAAAAAACCATCCATATCTTTACAGGGTACCAAAGAGGCCAAGCACGGTCATCACATTTTAATATTTTTTAAACTCAGTGTGATGTATTAGCATGACTTCAACCAACATAATGAAGTCTTTATGTATTGTTCTTAAGTGTAATGGAGATATCCCAAGGTTAATTCTTACATGACTCTTAACATTACATTTAACATTGAAAACTGTGGGTCTTCTTTTAGGTTTTGCAGCATATATAGGATTTATTTCCATTATTTTGAAGTTTTAAAAGTATGGAATAGAATAAAAAAAATCAAATAAAAATAGTTTTTTTTAGACCCTGAAAGCACAGAACTGTGAGAGACAATTTCTAGGCTACTGCACACAGATTGGGGAAACCAAATGAAGCCAAGTACCAGGACTGAGGTGACAGACAAAGCAGGCAGTTTAGAAACAATAAAGGTACTGCAGGTTACAAGAGCAAAAAGAATAAGTGTTAAAAAAAGAAGTTTGATAGCAAAATCATGTAGGAGGGGTCCATGAAGTCTTTGGCTAAATAGTGACATGCATATTTATATAAGAGATTACATTCTATGTGGTTGGCGAACATAAAAATCAGACAGCCCTCCACTTCACAGAAATGTTGGAGCAGTGTCTGGTGCCAACAGTCAGAGTGAAGGGGCAGAACAATTAGCTGGTTAACGTTCTTGGAAGAGTCACACGTTGGTGGTGTGGCTCACCGGTGCCCAGAAGTAAGGTTTTTCTTGCACCTTCTCTAATAAAGCTTAAAAGCAAGATTTAAAGGGGCGCAGGTGGCCTCTGAGTAACACAGAGGAAGTGAACACTCCTTTAGGGAGTGCAGCCGGGCTGCGGGTGCTGCTCTGTGTGGAGTACGTGCCCAGCACACACGAGGCCCTGGCTTCAGTATAACCAACCCTGCAAAAACTGTTTGAAAAGAAGGAACACAACAAATCCTACTTACAATAAAAAATGTACAAAGTCTAGCATCCAATGAATAACAGGCACATAAGTAATCAAGCAAATACAGCTACAACAGGAGAAAAATAATTTCAACTAAATACATAATAGTATAAATAGTTCTCAGAGAAAGGATCGAATTAGCATTCATTTAAAAATGTTGCTATTTATAAATACTATTAAAAGTTTTTAAGTGATGTGCGGAAAAAT